AATTATTGCACTAACCTTTGCAGTGGACTTTTTGGGCCTTCCCTTGTCTCCTATAACTGATTTTCAAAGCAGAAGCCAGAGTGATCCTTTCAAATTACTCCTCTCCTCAAACTTCTGCTTTATCCAACAAAACCCAAATTGCTTGCAATGGACAAGAAGATCCTCTGGGGTCTGCCACCCCCCACCTCTCTGATTTACATCCTGCTACACCCCCAAACTTAACTCCACAATGCGTGTACTTCTGTCCTTCCTGTTGCTTGACCTCCTGAGCCTGCTCGCACAGCAGGGTGTTGTACCAGCTGTTTCCCTCTCTTGGATTTTCTTTCCAGGTGTCTGTGTGACTCACTCCCTCACCTCCTTCTAGTCCTGCTGCTTTCTTAATGAGGTCTATCCTCCTCACCCTTTCAGCAACTAACACTGTACTCCCAATCTTCCTAACTCTGCTTGATTTTTTTCCTCCATGGCATTTACAACTTGCAGCATACTGAATACTTAAACATCATGTATATTTTCTGCTTTGTTCATTTTGTTCATTTATGTCCCCTAGGAGATCCTCAATAAATACATGTTGCATTTTAAAATATGTGTGGCCTGTGGTTAGGTTTTTATGAGGATTGAGTTTCTCTCCAAATGTATGTTTACTGAAATCAAATCCTTTTTTTGTTTTTATAAATAGACATGATAAATTTATTAAAATAAGTTAAAAATCTATGAAGCAATTTACATACTGAGTTTGTTCTCATTTTATGTAAAAAGAAAACAAATCACAAAATTGTATTTACTCATCAACTACCACTTTGTAAAGCTATACTATAATAGGAGAAACTCTAATAAGAAACACAGAACATTAATCGGGTTTGTTATATAAAAGGAGTGAGTTTATAAATTATATTTTTTATTATTCTTAAACTACAATAGTGTAACATTGTTTGAATAATTACAGTGCATTTTAAAATGTATTTTGCTGAAACATTTTAATTTTAAAGAAATTGCTCCGATTTTAAAATATTGCCCTTATAAGTAGCTAAGTGTACATCAAAACATCATTCAATTGGAAAGAATAAAAGAAGACACGTAAATAATACAAGTACTGAGAGAGTTGTACAATTTCAGAATGCTGTGAATCAATCAAATTTCTAAGTTGATCCGTCATTATACAGGAAGTTTGACACTCAATCAAAGCCAGCCTTGCCAATTACAAAGAATTCTTCTTTGGAATTTTGGTTTCTAGGGCTTTTTGGAATATATTATTTTGTCTTTTAAATAGTCTGTATCTACTACTAATAAATGGTAGCTGGGTATCCATATAATATAACAGAAGGGAAATGAAAATGTACAATTTTTTAGGTAATTCTAGGTAATTTTTACATAATTTTAGATAGATCTTCATGTAATTATGAAATACTTTTGGTTGAAAATAGGCTGTATTGGATGATTTGATTGCTTTCTTTTTATAAAAATTAAACTCCCAGCTCTCTTCCAAGCTGCTGCAAGATGAATGCTCCTTTCCTTATCTACTTTCTTCTCCCCTTCTCTGAAGAAGGAAATTCTACCACAGGACTCAGGAACCTGAGTAGCTATGTTACTCCTTTCACATCCTCGGTCATTCTAGATTTTCTCAGGTTTACCGAGGGAATATCTATACCCACCAGATTACATAAAAAGTATGAGATGAGGTTTGGGAAATAGGATAAAGATTTATATACTGGAATTTGGAATGTGGTTTATGAAAGTTTTTAGGTAAATGAGCATGGAACAGACAAGTCTTAGCAGGACTCCTCCTATCAAACAAATCTTATTTCCATTTTCTTCCCTTTAGTCTGTGCTCAGGACTCAATTAACTAACTGCAGAAACATGCCAAAGACAATCAAATTCTTTTTTGTGTGAACAGATTTAAGAATGCTTTCATCGTGATGGTGGAACTAGAAATCAGAAGTGGCTGAATGAGCCGTGGTCTGACCCAGCAGCTGGAGGCACAAACCATCACCGGCATATTGAGATAAGGGAAGGATAAAAATGGCAACAAACAGCCTGAAGACAGAGAAAATGGAAAAACCAAAAGGAGCCACGTTTACCTTAGACCTCTAATTCCCTGAAAACACTCTCTTAATGAAAGCAGGAGCTGAATTCACTTTAAGTAATTCGTTTTGTTGCTATGATTGAGGAATGTGTTAGTTTCAAAAATCTTAATGTAGATTACATTTTGAAAAAGCTATTCACTTTGCATGGGGGCTAGTTTTCTAGAGAATTCCTCCAACGTGTGATTTTTCTGGTGTCTTGAGAGTTGGTGTGTACATTTGTGATGATCTGCCACAAGCCTGTCAGAGAGCACAAAGCAGCTCAGATTTCCAGAAACCACTTCTTAAGAAAAAAAGCTGAAATGAAAGTAAAGCAATTTTGAACATTACAACCCCAAATCTAACAAGGTTTTGCTCAAGAAGAGAAAAATGATGAGGGAATTCCTTACTAAAGTCTTGGTCTTTACCCATCAGCTCACCATTCCTAAAGAATGAAATCCAAGAAAACTTGTCCTGAACATGGGCATCAGGAGACTCTGATTTTCCTTATAGTTTAAGGTCTCTGCGCAGATAGTGACTCAAAGACATTCAGGTACAGCGTGGGGTTCTTTCAGCCAAGCTTGCAGAAAATGGTAGATGTTATTTTCTGATTATAAGGCCCCAGGGTGAAGAGAACTTAACAGAAATGCTGACTGGTCCTGTGGGAGAGCAGGGAGAGTGTGGATTGGGGAGGGTGACCAGCAACCCCAGGGCCATCCACATTCCTTTTTCCCACAGCATACACCCCTGTTCAGGGAGCCTCAGCTGGGTGGCAGTGGGTCTGAGAGGGCAGAGGCTCAGTAACTCGGCCTTCAGACACTCCATCACAGTTTGACTGAACCTCCTGAGAGGAAGGTGTAGGAAGCATGGAATCCTAATTAGAGAAAAAGCGTCAGGCTGGTCAGACTGGCAGTACCAGGGGAAAGCAAAGAGAGGAAGCAGACAAACTGTAAGTCTGCCTTTCTTCACGGCCCGGGACACATAGCCCTTATGAGCAAATAACTCACAATCTTCCGGCACCCAACTATCTCCAGACACCTGCAAGTTAGCTCACTACAAGCTTGGCATTATCAATACTACATATAGCACCCTGGAGCGCAGGAACTATCCTATAAAGACCCAGCAAGACTTTGATTTTTGTAATCAGTTCCTCTCTGGCTGTGCTGCCTATTGCAACCTTGTAATATATTTTCATACTTTCTCTAATAAATCTGCCTTTATCTACAGCTGTCTTAGTAAATTCTTTACCTATGTACCACCAGCTCAGATAGTTGTCACTCACCTGTGACAGGGAAGTCTTGGTTTCAATCATAGAATTGGCTCAAAATTGGCCCCTGATATCCTCAAGTCATATTTAACTAAGTTGTCACAAGACAAAAGCAGTTTTAGATAGGATTTGCGGTTTTTGAAATTCAAGACTACCCACCCATCTGATAAGTTATCAGGTCCTCTCTAAATCTCAGTTACATCTTGGTGGACACCATCTTTATTGGGTGTTTTTCCATCAGCACAGCATCTCCTTCTGCCCAGGCCTCAGTCACACCCAATACCAGGGCCAATCCCACAGACTCAGCTCAGCCACACACATGCCCATGTTTAGTCTTACTGTAGGGAGCCTCGGGCCCTCACCAGCATTGGTTGAACATACAGAATCGGAGTCAGCAAAGACTTGGTTTCATTCCTACTTCACAGCATTATCATAAGAATGGCAGGATATAGTGTGTGGAAAGTGCTTGGCTCAGAGTATGGCACAAAGCAGTCTCAGTGTCAATTGCTGCTGCTGCTACATTATTCCAAGTGTGCTAAGGACAAATACATCCCAGACAAGTTGGAGCCATCTTACCCTTAGCCCACAAATATTTTAAAGATGTCTCTGTCATCACCCCATTTCTCCATTCTCCTCTGTGTCTGAGCCCAGGCCTCAGTCCCTATTCAGAATGCAGACAACCTGCCTAGCCCTTTCCTTTGTCTTTCTTAGAACTGGACTCTTGATTGCTGTTAGATTTTTGTTCTAGGACCAGAGAGATCTTTTCCTACCAACCTGTAGTAGGACCCTACTGCACATGAATGCATGTGCACACGCGCACACACACACACACACACACACACACACACACACACACACATACACGCATACTTCCACAATGTCAGCATTGTCACTGTTGGAAGACTCCTGCATTATATCCCACCCACCAGACTGCATTTGCTCTTGGACATGGATGTCAGCCTGGCTCAGAGTCATCACCCAAATCCTTGGGGGGCTCTCCTTTGCAGTTGTCTGCCTCTGCACTCCCAGAAAACCAGGAATTATGGAGGAGTGGGCAGAGAACCATAAACCCCTTTGTAATTATAGGACAAATATTTTCAAGGACATAGATGAAGAGTTCTCCTAGAGAAAAAACAGGTACCTGAAAACCAACGATATACAACTATGGGACCACATCTCCAAACACAGGGGCATCCAAGTAGAAAAGTAACTTGGAACTAACCTCCTCACCTAAACAATTCATTGAAGAACAGAGAGAACCCCAGGTCGTCCTGGGGATCCTGTAACATTCAAATCAACAGTCACAGCAGCATGTCTACAGGGCACAGAGACAAAAGTTCCCAGGGCAAGGAAGGGACAAAATAAGGACAATGATGAGGTCTGACAACATTCAATGTTGACTGCTGGCTGAGAACTGCCCTAAATACTTATACCCATTTAATTTTCAGAAACTACCCTCTGAACATGATGTTAGTACTAATATGATGGTCACCTCTTTGTAAGCAAGGAACCCAAGAATTGAAGAAGTAAATGAGTTGCCTAATGTCATGCAACACGTAAGTGTAAGAGCAGGGATTACATGCAGATCTGCATTAGTCCAGAGCTTTCTGTCTCCAACACTACGCATGGAATAACCAAAATGAGATAGTCATGTCTATAACGGTATTTAGGAACGATGGTACATGAAGAGTTTGGCCTCAGAATCTGGTAGGAGAACTGCTATAGCCAGACAGAAACACGCCTCCCATTTCCTTACGCATGTAAGAAATTATAAGGAAAAACTGACATTCAGTGGATAAGGCTTTGGGACCAGTTCTGTAGTGCTTACCTCTGCACCCTCTGTTGAGTAGCCTTCAGAGAGAGGGAGAATGGAGCCACCAAGCAGAGCATGAAAGCAGGCATCCACAACAAACTTGAACTTAAACCATTCTTATTCACTCCCCACCCCTCCGGAAACACTGGCCCTCACTCAGGAGGGCTTTCTCATATCCTCATATTCACCCCCATCATGTTCCTTCTCTATTTTCTTCTTGTAGATGGATTCGACCCTGCTTCCTCACCCCTTTTGGCCAGCAGCTTCTTGCTTCATTCGTTTTGGTTTTTTTTTTTTTTTTCCTTTGTCTCAATCTGAGTAGATTCCACTGCTGGATTTTAGTGGATTTTAGAAATAATAACTCTGGATTATGAGCATTCTATGTGCACTGCAAAGCCCCCATCCTTTTTATCCTCAACCAGTTCTTTTCCAACACATGAGACCAAAGTTACACATTACACAAACAAGATTTCAAAGGATTTCATCAATCTGTAACTTGATTCTCCCATTGGTAATATTACCTTTCTCACAAGCAAAATTGATAATAATGACTATTATTATCCTAAATTTTTATATGAAAATTTTATTCCTTTTGAGATAAAAGCATTTTTGAAAAACACCCCAAAGGCACTTACCCTCAGTGGGTTGTACTTGAGTTCTTTCTTTCTCAACCTCCTAGGAGCAGTTTAATAACTCGGGGAGCCAATTTCTCTAACAGCTTTATAGCTCTACTAAATACAGCAGCCACCCTCTCTTTAAAAACCTCCCGTTTTCTTTATCAGTTAAGAAACAGGAATCAGGTTACTGATAAGCTGAACCTAATGAACCCACTGTTAACAAATGTTAACTGCAGTTTTCACCACATTCTCCTCTATTTGAAAGATCATTGATGCAGTTCTATTTCCGATTTTCACTTTATCGCTATAGATGGTTACATTTTGTCTTAACCATATTTTGCCTTCCTCACGAGTTACTTTCTCAGCAAAACCTCCCCAATTCCATGTAGGTGGCAGATCACTCACTTCCCCTAAAGCAAGTTGGTAGTTTAACTTCCCTAGAGTCACGTTTCTAAGAACAACAGTGTCCATTTCTGCAGCAAGTTGCTTATTTGTGTTGTTGTTGTTGTTGTTGTTGTTGAGACAGAGTCTTGCTGTGTGCCCGGCTGGAATGCAGTGATGCAATATTGACCCACTCTGCAGCAAATTTTATAGTTGATGTCTCACTGTCAATGTTTCTGAAAACTTTGACACATCTTTTGTGCTTAAGTGTACACCAGGCTGTGTGTGCAGTAATTCGGTACATGCTATCCCATGCAAGCCTCAGAGGCTGACAGGAGCCTCAGAGAGGTGAATTTCCTTACCCAAGGTAGCAGCCTGTACAAAGGAATGCCAGAATCCAAAGTGTCTATACCTGGGCTTTTTCCACATGCCCCAGATGGCCAAACTCAGGTGATTGTAATAGAGATTTACGGACACGTGCTGCAATTAGAATTCTGGATAAACTAACCTTAATTATATATGCAATTTTTAAAAATACTGGTGACTTTCAAATAATTAGGATGTACCATCTGCCAGAGTCCTCCCTAATATAGTAGAGCATGAGATTTAGGGAGAACACAGCCTAGTTTTCCTTTTCCCATCTGCTTGACTTTGGGCAAATTATCTCTCTTGTGTGAAGGATGATGTTGTCAATATTAAATGAATAACCTGTGGAAGGTGTCACCCATATTAATGATCACTAGTGATTTTCTGTCCTATCATTTACCCATCCTACCACACCCAGTAAAATTGTGTTTAAAAACAAACCTTCTGGTCGGGCATGGTAACTCACGCCTATAATCCCAATGCTGGGAGGCCAAGGTGGGTGGATCACTTGAGGCCAAGAGTTTCAGACCAGCCTGACCAACATGGTGAAACCTTGTTTCTATTAAAGTTACAAAAACTAACTGGTTATGATGGGGCATGCCTGTAATCCCAGCTACTCAGAAGGCTAAGGCACGAGAATTGCTTGAACCCAGGAGGCAAGGTTGCAGTGAGCCAAGATTGTGCCACTGCACTACAGCCTGGGTGAGAGAGTGAGACTCTGTCTCCAAAAAAAAAAAAAAAAAACCTTCAAAGTGTTTTTGAAAAATGGAGCAATTCATAACATGTTCAATATCTAAATATCATGTCTATGTCAACAGACTAACAAAAGCTGTGTAGCATCTGACCTTCAACCTTCAACATCACTGAGGCTCATTTTGGTTTGGGTGCTGAGTTAAGATGTCTTCTCTGTTTGAACACAACTTCACTTCCCTACCACCAACCCACAGACAAAAGAACAGCTGTGTATACTCTCCTTTATTTGCGAATTTGGGTGAAGATCCTCATCCCACCAAGTGAGCTAGATCACCTCTTCTCCTTACCTAGGGTCACCATACATAAAAGATGAAAATCTACATAAGGAGATATTGGTACACTCATCTGCATGCTATTCAATCTTCATGTGGATTATGATTTCAAAGCTTCAGAAAAAGTCAATGTTTAGTTGAGAGGTAACAGAGGTGCTCAATTTGGGGTTTGTGAAATAGAAGTTATGTTAAAGCCATATGTTCACCTGGAAGAAAAACATAATTTTGGTAAAAAATTAGATTTTTACATTCCCTCTCTTTCTCTCTCTCTCTGTCTCTCTCTCTCTCTCACACACACACACTCACACACACACACACTTGCCCCTTCCTTTCCTTCCTTTTTTTGCTCACTAAGCAAAAAAAAAAAAAAGTTTACTCAATGGTTTCTATAAAACACATTTAGACCTTTCCACAGTTTAACAAGGTTCGTGTGTCCCCCACCAGCCTTGAATAGTTTAAGCCAAAGAATGAGCAACTGTCATTCTTTGTGAGCTGTCAATAAAAAATACCTTTAATAGTTGTGGCGGGCAGCCTTGGCGATGGCCCCATGATCTCTGCCTCCTGGTGTCCACGCCCTTGTGTAGTCTTTTCCCTCACTGTACCAGGTCAGGTCTATGTCATCAATATAATCTGGAATAAGTGATCACATGCCATTGCCAAGACTAGGTTATAAAAGGCATCCTATTTCTAGATCCTTGAGGAATCACCACACTGTCTTCCATAATGGTTGAACTAATTTACATTCCCACCAACAGTGTAAAATTGTTCCTTTTTCTCCACATCCTCTCCAGCATCTGTTGTCTCCAGATTTTTTAATGATTGCCATTCTAACTGGTATGAGACAGTGGTATCTAACTAACTGGTATCTCAATGTGGTTTTGATTTGCATTTCTCTAATAATCAGTGATGATGAGGATTTTTTCATGTTTGTTGACCACATGTATGTCTTCTTTTGAAAATGATCTGTTCATATCCTTCGCCCACTTTTGAATGGCTTTGTTCATTTCTTTCTTGTAAATCTGCTTTAGTTCTTTGTAGATTCTGGATATTATTCCTTTGTCAGATGGGTAGAATGCAAAAATGTGTTCCCATTCTGTTGGTTGCCCGTTCACTCTAATGATTGCGTCTTTCACTGTGCAGAAGCTAGAAATAGAAATTCCATTTGGCCCAGCAGTCCCGTTTCTGGATATATACCCAAAGGATTATAAATCATTCTATTATAAAGACACATGCACACGCATGTGCTTTGTGGTGCTGTTTAGGATAGCAAAGACCTGGAACCAACCCAAATGCCCATCAGTGATAGACTGGACAAAGAAAATGTGGCACATATACACCATGGAATACTATGCAGCCATAAAAAACGATGAGTTTGTGTCCTTTGTAGAGACATGCATGAATCTAGAAACCATCATTCTCAGCAAACTGACACAAGAACAGAAAACCAAACATCACATGTTTTCACTCATGGGTGGGTGATAAACAATGAGAACACTTGGGCACAGGGAAGAGAATGACACTCACTGGGCTAGGTGGGGAAGAGGAGGGACAGCACAGGGATAGGGGAGGATGGGGAGGGATAACACCGAGAAAAATGCCTGATGTAGGTGGTGGGGCAGTGGGGACGGGGGGAAGGCAGTGGTTGGAGACAGCAAACCACCATAGCATACATGTACCTATGCAACAATCCTACAGGATGCAGAATGTGCACATGTACCCCAGAGCCCAAAGTGCAATTAAAAAAAAAAAGAAAAAGGCATCCTGTGGTCATCTGGGACTCTCTCTCTCTTGAATCACCCACTCTGAGAGAAGCCATCTCTAGGGCAACCCCAGAGAGTGCTCCTCAAGGACAGGTACTGAAGCCTCCTGCCAACCGCCACATGAGTGAGCCTAGCAGCAAGTTCCTCAGAGGCAGTCAAGTCTTCAGAGATGACAAAGTGTGGTCAACAGCTTGACCACAACTTCATGAGCGACCCTGAGGCAGAACCACCAAGCTAGGTCACTGTCAGATTCCTGACTCTCAGGAACCGGGTGAGATAATAAAGGTTTACTGTTTAAGCTGCTAAATTTCAGAGTAATTTGTTATGGCACAATAGATCCCTAATAATTGACAGAAAATGAACTTACACTATTTTCTTTGTGGATCTGACAACAAATATGTACAAGTCAGGGGTACTTGCTAGTAAGAAATGACTTGATCTCCATGGGCTTTTTTTTGGTACTGCATTTCCCTTACAGTAGTCAAAAATTCAACTGCTACTCCTACTCAGAAGGCCTTTTAGTGTCTGTGATGTCAGGAAGCCATCTCTCTTGTAACTCTGGAGTTTCTGTTATCAGAGGAAACGTCCAATCTTACAGATTGTTCCACAGATATTAAAAGCACACTTTCTCTAGTCTGATTAGATAAAGTCTCTCCCTTCTACATGCTCATTCTGTTTATTCAACAGATCTTTATTCCTGGATCAGAAGGAAACACATTTGTTTTGTCAAGAAAGCAACATTTCACCATGCTGACCTCACAATCGTGGTCTTCCCCGTTACCACTGGTCAGCAGTGGCACCTGAGAGACCTCAGGGAGACAGGTCTCTGTGAACCCTGAGGGTACACTCAGCGTTCTGCAGGCAATAGCACTTGCCATAGCAAAGGCAAAACTTTGTGAGAACAGTAGGGGGAGGACCCCTTGGGCAGCTGTCCCCGTCTTTGTGCAGACAGTCTTCTCTTTGGTCAGATATGTTCTGACTATGTGAAGGAGAGCCGGTGCTACCACAGAGCAATACCATCACCACTGCGATGAGGTTGGTTTCAATGCTGAGGAAGCTCACAATATTGTCAAAGAGTGTGTAGATGGGGTTTTAAGTGGTGAAGATTATAATCACAACATTAACCAGTGGACCGCAAGCATAGTGGAACAATCCTTAATACATCTGGTTAAGTTGAGAAAAGCTTACAAAAATATTGTGACCTGTGCAGTGGTCCAGAAGAGTGCATATGGCTTTCACACAGCCAGCTCTGGTTTTTGGGATACCACACCTGATGGAACCTGTACCATAAGATGGGAGAACCAGACCATGAAATGTGTTGTAAACGTTTTTACCATTGCTATTGTTCTTTAACTGACTAAAAATACTAGGCTAAAGTCATTAACTTAAGAATTTGTCAGTGTATCCTTTCAAAAAAAGAGTAATAGTTATTTATTAGTGTGCTAGATGACATGTGTGCAATATGTTTTAAAGCTATCAACAAAAACTGGATATTATAAGCAAGTAATATCATAGTAATTGGAAGATTATCTCATTCTATACAGCATCATTTAAACAGGAAAAATTTAATTCTAGCAAAAAATAAATGCAGAAATATAGCATGACATGAAAATATAGCCTTACATTTGCACCAGCTTTTCACTAATAATTTGTACTTAAGGTGATGGGGGAACTCCATTCAGATAATAAAAGCCCCTTTCAGCTAGAGAAGTTAACAGGAATAAATATATGAACAAAAAAGCTGTGGTGTTGGGAAAACTGGCTAGCCATATGCAGAAAGCTGAAACTGGTTCCCTTCCTTACACCTTATACAAAAATTAACTCCAGATGGATTAAAGATTTAAACATAAAACCTAACATCATAAAAATGCAGAAGAACACGTAGGCAATACCATTCAGGACATTGGCATGGGCAAGGACTTCATGACTAAAACACTAAAAGAAATGGCAACAAAATCCAACATAGACAATGGGATCTAATTAAACTAAAGAGCTTCTGCACAGCAAAAGAAACTATCATCTGAGTGAAGAGGCAACCTACAGAATGGGAGACATTTTTTGCAATCTACCCATCTAACAAAGGGCTAATATCCAGAATCTACAAAGAATTTAAACAAATTTGCAGGAAAAAAAACAACAACAACAACCCCATCAAAAAGTGGGCAAAGGATATGAACAGACAGTTCTCAAAAGAAGACATTTATGCAGCCAACAAACATATGAAAAAAACTCATTATCACTGGTCATTAGAGAAATGCAAATCAAAATGACATTAAGATACCATCTCACACCAGTTAGAATGGTGATCATTAAAATATCAGGAGACAACAGGTGCTGTAGAGGATGTGGAGAAATAGGAACACTTTTACTCTGTTGGTGGGAGTGTAAATTAGTTCAACTATGTGGAAGACAGTGTAGTAACTCCTCAAGGATCTAGAACTAGAAATACCATTTGACCCAGGAATCCCATTACTGGGTATATACCCAAAGGATTATAAATCATTCTATTATAAAAACAAATGCACATGTCTGTTTATTGTGGCACTGTTCACAATAGCAAAGACTTGGAACCAACCCAAATATCCATCAATGATAGATTGAATAAAGAAAAAGTGGCACATATATACCATGGAATACTACAGAGCCATAAAAAGGATGTGTTCATGTCCTTTGCAGGGACATGGATGAAGCTGGAAACCAACGTTCTCAGCAAACTGACACAAGAACAGAAAACCAAACACTGCATGTTCTCACTCATAAGTGGGTGTTGAACAATGAGAACACATGGACAAGGATGAGAACATCACACACAGGGGACTGTCAAGGGGTGGGGGCTAAGGGAGGGAAAGCATTAAGAGAAATACCTAATGTAGATAGGGTGATGGATGAGGCAAACCACCATGGCACATGTACACCTATGTAACAAACCTGCACGTTCTGCACATGTACCCCAGAACTTAAAGTATAATAATAATAAATGCTAATGATAAAGTTAATGTCATCAAAAAAAGCTGCAAGGATAAATGTGGAAAAAATGATGAGAATTAGCTAACATCTTTTAGTTTTTTTAAACTTTCTTCCCCTCACTTAGTTGTACATAATATTTAGTGGAAAGTAATTCCTTTTTTAAAATTTTCTATCAACTAATACTATAGTAACAACAATGATTAACTTGTTTACTTTTTCTGAGAATTAGTACATTGATTTTTTTTATTTCATATTTTTGGATTTACACTTGAGGGCGAATTAAATCTGGTAAACTGAACTTCCTAGTTGAACAAAATTAGTTACAGTGTATGATGAACAGTATATGACTCAAACAGCTGCTTTATAATTCGCTTATTCCATGTGGAACAAACATTTACCAGATGGCTATTATGATGGCTATTATGGGCATATTTCTCTGCTAAGCACTATAGTTATCAATGTGCTGTGCAAATGCTAAGTTCCTTTTAGCAATTGTTCAGTTGGAAGACAAGTATTAATATTTGGAGAAGGAAAAAAATAGTTGTTCTATAAAGGAGGTAAAAAGTGAATCTGGTTACACATATAGAAGTAAGTAAAATGAAAAGCACTTTGCTTTCTGACAGAATTATAGATGGCATTTTAAGACTTGCTTCTAACAAGTTAAAAGCGCACATAAAATATGCAACTCTTAAAGACCGTAGTATCAGTCTTACCTACACAAGTAGTAAATTTTGTCAACCATCTGTTACAACCATCTGTAAATAATTTTAAAGGCTTATTATGTGGGGTTCAAACTGAGTAGAATAAAGTATAGATTAAAAGTATAGAATCATTAGCAGGTTATCTCAGGGCTTATGAAATGTAATTAAATGTATTAAGAAAATAGATGAAAAATTAGGGTACACAGCTGGCCACCAAATGCAAAGTCAATCTGCTATTTATCCTTGAAAACAAAATCAGTTTTGCATATTACCAGCAACTCTAATACGTATAAAGAGTGGGACCATAACTCATTAAATTTGGGGAAGGAATAAGCTTAGTGTTAATATTGATATTAAGACAATTTGTAGGAATATTATGTGCATGTTTGATATTTTGCCAAATAATGATAATTAATAATTGTTCAATGTTTAAGAATAATATTAACAAAATAAAGAAGTTTAATGCAGTGATCTTTGTTTCTGGCACATCAAAAATTCTCAGTCATTGTTCATTTTCCTTTGTGTTGCTGGCTTTCGTGCCTTCGAAGATTACATTAGTGACCAAAATATATATGCAGACTTTCTTCTTATTATTGTTGTTGAAGCCTGATTTAAGAAATAAAATAATAATTCATACCTTGTGAGCTTGTTATCTTCTCTTTCTAGTTAAAATATAATAAATATTCCTGTGCTGAAAGAAAGAAAAGAAAGAAAAGAAAGAAAGAAAGAAAGGAGAGAAAGGAGAGAAAGGAAAGAAAGGAAGGAAGGAAGGAAGGAAGGAAGGAAGGAAGGAAAGAAGGAAGGAAGGAAGGAAGGAAGGAAGGAAGGAAGGAAGGAAGGAAGAAAAGAAAAGAAAGATGGAAAGAAAAGAAAGATGGAAAGAAAGGAAGGAAGAAAAAGAAAGAAAGGAAGAGGAAGGAAGGAATGTTCTGATGATGCAATGCCAGCAATGCCTTTCTGCTGTAGTGGCCTTGAACAAGCACTTTGCCTTATGACATGGTAAGAACATAAAAGGAAAATCTGATCTGATGTTCTCAGTATTTTCCCTGTGTGGTGGCTTTCGTGCTTTGGTGTCTCAAATACCCTCTCCCATTTAAGAACATGAGAGGAAACCCTGATCTGTAGATTGTGTTCTCACTCTTTCCTCATGTTGAAATGCTGAAATAAATGTCAACATTTTCATTCATGGTCAAATTTCTTCTAAAACCTAGAACTCTAGAAACTTCTATCTGGGACTGGTAAAAATTTAAAGATGTCCTTTGTTTTGCTGAAATTCCCTAGTCCTGGCAATATACATGACAGAATATCCTCTGAAATTGAGTCCAGATATTTTCAATCATTCCAAGAAAATTTAGATTCAGGAGGGGACGGAGATTAGGAAAAGGGAAAAAAGGTGATTTCACAGGGACCACAGGCATGCATTTACAGGAAGGATTTCAGTCATCTACTTGAAATTGTTTTGCTTCAAGATTATATCCAGTTCTCTAGAAATTGATGACACATTTTTTAAAACAACAGCTTATTTGCCAATGTACTTGTGTAATATGCAATGCATAACATCTAACAGACACTCCCCTTTAGTCTGAACCACACAGAGTGGTGAGGCACAGAAGTCATTTCGAAATTATGGATTTCTATCAGTAACGCTCAGTGAATAAATTTTAAAATATATACAATACTACAAAGGAAAAATTCTCATACCCTAATACTCAGAGATAATTACTATCTAACATACCCACATATTTTCTGCTGGCCTTATTTCTTAGATTTCATGTGGATATACTCTATTCTTTTTGGATAGAGTATATTCACACACACACACACACACACACACACACACACACACAAAATAGGGTGGGAGGCGGCAGGGGAACAACTGGGCCAGGGCAGGCTTATGGGGATAGACTGTCTCCCTTGCCTCTGGCCCAGCAGAGCCTAAGCACTGTGCTATCCTGGAGGGGCTTTGGACCAACAGAAAGACCAAGGGCATAGGGAGGAGGAGGCTTCACCCATCAGCAATAAAGTTGATCGCAGGGTGTGCTTTTTTTTTAATTATTCAAGATACATGTATATATATGTAAAAATATTATACATACACAACAGAAAATACAAAACTTTCCAAGAGACACAAAAGAAAATAAGTGAATGAAGAGTCATGTCATGTTTCTAGAGAAGACTCAGTAATAAGATTCATAATAAATTTTTTGGGAAGTTGACAAAATAATTCTAAAATTAGGCCTGGTGCAGTGGCTCAAGCCTGTAATCCCAGCACTTTGAGAGGCTGAGACAGGCAGATCACAAGGTCAGGAGTTCGACACCAGCCTAGCCAATATGGTGAAACCTCGTCTGTACTAAAAATACAAAAAATTAGCTGGATGTGGTGGTGCTCTCCTGTAGACCCAGCTCCTCGGGAGGCTGAGGCAGGAGAATTGCTTGAACTACAGAAGGCGAAGGTTGCAGTGAGCCGAAATTATGCCACTGCATTCCAGCCTGGGCGACATAGTGAGACTCTGTCTCAAAAAATAATAAATTAAAATAAATAAATAAATAAAACTAAAGTGAAGAATAAAGGAAAATGGCAAAGCTAACTTCCCATTAAGTGCCTGTGTGTGCCACACACTGGTTCCACCCACACAATCATCATAATAAACTTATAAGGACTACTGTTACCCTTACTTTACAGATAATAAAACTGAGCCATAATGAAGTGAATAAATTTGCTGAGTCACATTGCCAGTCAGC